TTTTGTTTTTATTCAAAATTTAATAACTGTTTAATTTATTGTAATATTTTAATATAATTTAATATATTTGAATATATTAAAGCAAATTTTATATTATTGTTATTATTATTTTATTTTTTTATTTTTATCATTATTACTTTTATTTTAGTTATTTGATTTTTATATATTTAATATAACTATTATATAAATCATATTTTAATAATTATTAAATATAAAATTATATTAAATAATATTTAAATTTTAAATTAAATTAGATTATTATTAAAATGGTGCAGAGGAACTTTAATAAGAAAGAGGAAAAAATAAAAATGTATTTATTAAAGTGTCTTTAATAAGAGAGAGAAGAAAATAAAAATATATTTATTAAAAAATAAAATTTTTTGAAAAGTTGGAGGTGCATATGTCATAAGGTTAAAAATGGAATTTTTGGAGGTGCAGGATGAGATGTTGGAGGTGTAGGATGAAACACTCATCTCAGAATCCAAGTTCCAAATGCATCTTTCATTTCAGTTTTATCAGACATGGATTCAGATGTATTTGTTGAAAGTCTTACTAGAGATAAAAACAATTTCATAATATATAAATAAATATAAATCTCATCTTACAATTAAATTAAATTTAAAATTTACTTCTTAATCACCATATCTTCACGTAGTAATTGGCTAATTATCCGAGAGCAACAAATTCTCAAGTTCCAACATGAACAACGTCAACAATTGGGTCTTTTTGTGCTACTATGGAGACAAAATAATTTGTCATTGCTAGAGGAACCAACAACTCGAGAAAGAGGTTCTAGGATTTTAGACACTTCATGGTAGGTATATACATTACTTATATTGTAAAGGAGAAGGGAAGATATAGAGGGATCGCCTTTTCATTGTATATATAATATACGTACTTAAATCTTTCATTGTATACATAGTTAATCCCTTACGTCTTTTCATTGTATACAATTGTAAGGGATCAGAGTTAAAAGTGACCAATTTAATATTATTTAAAAGAAAAAACAAAAAGACTTTTTTTTGTACAACGTTTTCAACCTTATATTATTATCGTTATAAACAGTGTCTTCCCAATATGATGATATTAGAATCACCATCAACATTTGCAAGCAATGTCCTTATATCACTTTTTATTGCTACCAGTTCCCCAACAATGTCAATGTCGCCTCCTCTCTCTTGTCCCCTTGCATCTCCTTCAGCTTCTCCCCTCCACCGAAACGTTTGAATTAAAAAGTAACAAGTCTTTTGATTATTCAATAGTAAAACTTAAATAATTAAAATAACAACACTAAAATTAAAATGTGTAAAGCGGGAAACCAGCTTTAATTTAAAACTCAATATCAAATCAAGAGACCAGTCATTAGGGTGTAATTATACAAAGCAAATTAAATGATATGAACATATATACAATACGTTGAAACAACAAGGCTTGACAGTATGAAACAAAAGCAGAACTGCCACCTAAATAGAAAGTGTTGTTTTGGCAATCAACCTTCAAATATCATTCGGTTACGTGTTCTACGCTGGTTTGATCGATGGAATATATGTAATTGAAACATGTCTTTCTTCTACGACTTGTGGTAATAAAGATAAAGCTTAGAAATTGTAAGGAGCAGTTAGGATGAAGTATGATAAGATGGTAGGCAATAGCTATGTGGTAAGCTAGCCAACCTTTTATAGAACAGTAAAAAGCAAGACTAAATGTTTTTTTACAGACTTCCTCTTTGATACTAGCTAAAAGAGGACACTCAGGAAAAAGAAGGGGTGTCCCTGACATAAAACATTGTATAAGAGCTCCTTGATATGTCTTACGGAGCTTGTGAGTTTTATTGGAGAGTTGAGACTAAAACCATATGGCCTTGGCAGCCATAAGCATTTGTTTGAGGGAACCATCAACATGGAGGGATATGACATCCTTGGATGAGCCTACAAATTTGCCACCAATGAAGACTGCAGGCACCGAAGGGTTACACCCCATGCTCCTCAAAGCCCACTCCATTTCCCTCCCATAAGCATCCTTGTCGAGCTCATGCAGCGCAGGGCTTGCTCCGAGCTCATAGAAGAGTTGCGTGATGCTGTGGCACATGTAACACGAACTCTTGGTGAATATAACTGCTGCCTTCTTTGACGCCAAGTCTCTTACTCTATCCATTTTTCTACTTGGACTATGTAATTCCTCTCGGTGGTGTTTGTGATTACACGGTGTGTTATTTATAGTGGGTGGTTATGATAGTGGAGTGGTTCATTACATAAATAAAGAGATTATTAATAGCGGAAAGGAAAAGGAAGAAAGTTCCTTCGGATATTTGTTTGGATAAGAGAAATGCTCCCTGATCATTTGATCGATGGGGACTCTGACATGGAGCAAGTTGCATTTAGCATCACACTGTGCATGCAAGTGATAATTCAAATCAGTCGGGGTTCCCGTACGAGCAATCAGTGCAGGAATAAGAACAATGTGTATATAATTTATTAGACTGAAAAACTCTTTCGGCCCTGGTTCACAGCATCTTCTAATGTTAATTTATGCAAACTTCTCTGAGGCAGATGGCACAAAACAATGTTGCGTTGTCAACACAATCAGCCGAAAGAGTGGAATCCCTTCCATATCCAATTACAATTAACATTGTGTTAATGCCACAAGTCAAAGGCCCCCATGGAGTTACAAGTGTCATATCATCACCACCCTGCCCATATTTTTTCTGATAGTTTATTACATATTTAACCGAATCTTCTGGTCTACTATGGTTATTTATATTATAATGTGTTAATAATTAAGTAAGATGTTGTGTTTGGTTGTGAATATATTGGGAGGGTGATGTGGAGATAAGAGTTTATCCAATATTGCGTTTCCACTTTGGTCCCCGCATCAGATTCATAGAATACGAAAACAGTGGCCAGCTCCGACAATTCTGTGTGCATATGGCCCTTAGGGTATGGAAGAGATCCCTCGGTACTTCTCTTTGACACAGTGCTGAGATGTCATGAAAATAACACTGCTTCCTGCTAATACTCTGTGATGTCGTGAATGATCTCAACTTCCCAGTATAAATTCCTTCCTTGGCTGCTCCAACCAATCACCTTATTTACTTTGCAAAAATCTCTTCTTTGTTTCCATACTTGGATCTTTAACTAAACATTGACCCTCGATCTCTCGTTTACATATATCAATTTATGTTTGCAGACATAGGCGCTACTTTTGTTTTCTGGTAAGCCTTTTATCTAAGCATTAAATGCCTAGATTAATCACAGGATTAAATATTTTCACATAAAGTTTTATTCTTACAGGAATCTAACCGATTTATACATAATTATTTCTTGAAAGCTCTTTGATTCTTTCGAGATCACAATTACTATAAAATAATGTCATTAAACAAATTCAAATTCAAAATTTTGAATATGTTATATAGAATTTATTTGAGGTCATCGTTGTGATAGTTTGGACCTATATAATTATCCTTAGGATATTTATTAAGGAACTAAAAGGATAGTCTTTGTTAAATATAAAAACTCATTAGAAATATTAAAAACTTTTTTTTTAAATAAAGTTATGTTACGTACTATTTTTTTAAATAAGATTATATTAAATATTATTATGAATTTTGAAATTTCAATTGTACTAACTTTTCAAAATTCATCAATCAGTATGTTATTATATAAAAATTTATTAAAAAAATAAAAAAGCATGAAGTACTATACCAAACTCATTTAAAAAATAGTTAATTTACGAAACTAGTTAGTTAATTAGCATTTTGAAAAAATAATATTTTTTTATGATAGTGAATTGTTACATTTGAAACTAACATATTCGAAGTAATTATTGCATTGCAAATAACATTATGAGAAAATATTTATATAATTATTAATTTTAATGACAAAAAATAATTGAATTATATAATTATAATTTTTAAATAATGATTACTAAAATTAATTGGTAATTATTTAGGAATTTTTACTTAGTGTGTAAGTTTTGTCTTAAAAATAATAGTACCCACAAATTTTATATGATTCGTTCCTTTTTTTTTTTTGCATATTCGTTGGTGATTAATGAAATTTTATTGCAACTTGAAAGGTAAAAATTGTTAAAAAAAATAAAAAGATATTATGAGTGATTTAATAAAACAGAAAACAGGAATATAAGTGCAATAAAATAAAATAAAATAGATAAAAAAAGAAAAATAATGCCTACAAGATTATAAACGTGTAAAGAAGATTCATTAAATGATGATTAAGACGTCAATTTTGCGAGTCCAAATAGTTTCAAGTAGTACTGAAAAAAGTTTTTCTGAAAGTCTAACATTGAGATTCCTTGAGAATATAATAACGACACTTTTAATAAATGCCATAGTGACCACTGGTTAAGAATATAATGTAAAATATCTTATAGAAATACAGTATTAAATGAATTAAAATAAGATTAGGTGTTAGGGTTTACTTTTTATTCAAAATTAAATTTTATTCTTCATTATTTTATTTTTTAAATTTTGAGTAAATTGATATATTAAAGAAGCTTTTTACCCGAAAGACAGTCATTAATTAACAGTGTTATTTATGAAAAGGAATAAAATAAATATCAACATCCTTGAATGTACAGTAAGAATTTGGTGGAAAGTATAATTTGAGAATATGGTAAAGATGAAATGATCCATCTCCATGCATGTTTGGTTAGGTCAAGAGAATGAGTGATCATTCTTACAACGTAAGAATCAACGTTCTATCAAGTTATGGAATCTCTATTCTATTTCACTAAAATAAAGGTAACATTATAGCTATGTCTACTTTTTCAGCCACTATTATTTTGAGTCAAATTGATTTCCTCTGTGGGAAAAATATTATACTGGACATTTAGTTTAACTTCATATTT